CCGGGCCACATTTTGGCCCCAAGATGAAGCAGTTTGTACCACGGCTGCCCTTTGACATGGTACTCTGCGAGTCGGCCTTCCCCAAAGTGAAGCCGGCACCTGACGAGTCTGCATTTACTCAGGTGAGAATGAGAGGATGTGTGTTTATGCTGAATATTTATTTGACTTCATATGATATTACATACCATTGGTGCTTGATTGACATTGTGATCTGTAAACTTCCCCAGTCTCGTACCTCTGGACATTGTTAGATGTTCAAAGTTTTGAAGTGTTGCTCTCTCCCTTGCAGGCCCTCTTAAAAAGAAATGCAGACTTGTCACCCACACCAGCAGAACAGGCTGCTGTACTTAACCTAGTCACAAAGATCCAAGCTGTGATGGATAACCTTATTGTAGATCCGGGCAATTTTGACGCATGCGTAAGTTCCGTAAGTTTGTTGCAAACCATTGCCTGTCAGCGGGTAGGTGAGCTTTCTTTTTGTTCGTGAATATTGTCTTATATAATGTATATAATTTGATAGCATGTGTAAACGTGCACAGACATGTACACTCACACACTCAGTCTGTCACTCTCACTGTCACACTCTCGCTCTCGTGCTTTCACTCAGTCACACTCTCAATGTCACTCTCACTCACTCACACTCACGCTGTCCCTCTCTCTCACTCACACATACTCACTCACTCACTCACTCACTCACTCACTCACTCACTCACTCACACTCACACATACACATATTCTCACACTCACTCACCCACACATACTCACTCACTCACTCACACTCACTCACACTGTCACACTCACTCACACTGTCACACTCACTCACACTGTCACACTCACTCACTCACACTCACTCACACTGTCACACTCACTCACACTGTCACACTCACTCACACTTCACACTCACTCACACTGGTCACACTGTCACACTCACTCCACTGTCACACTCACACTGTCACACTCACTCACACTGTCACACTCACTCACACTGTCACACACTCTCACATACACACACTCACACATACACACACTCGCACATACACACACTCGCACTCACACTCACAATCACAATCACAATCACAATCACTCTCTTTCTCTTTCTCTTTCTCTTTCTCTTTCTCTGTCTGTCTGTCTGTCTGTCTGTCTGTCTGTCTGTCCTCTCTCTGTCTCTGTCTGTCTCTCTGTCTGTCTTCTCTGTCTCTCTCTTCTCTCTCCTCTCTCTCTCTCTCTCTCTCTCTCTCTCCTCTCTCTCTCTCTCTCTCTCTCTCTCTCTCTCTCTCTCTCTCTCTCTCTCTCTCTCTCTCTCTCTCTCTCATTTTCACACACTTTCACACATACTCACACTCACATGCACTCAGTTGCACACACACACTCACTTTCACACACACATGCACACACACATGCACACTCACTCATTCATTCATTCACTTTTACATTCACACACACCAACACTCACAAATACATATGTAAATTAGTGTCTTGGTTGTGAATATTGAAATAGAACAAGTTCCTTTTTGTGATCACACCCCTCTCCATAGTCAGCAGTACGCGTCCGTTCTCGGAACCGAACGCTAAATCGACAGCGTATAGCTCTCACTCAATTCATGGACCTCTTGTGTGGATGCGGAAAGTAGGTCATGGTGGTATTATGGGTTACACGATGGCTTTGGAATGCCCGGTCTACTTTGATCACCTGCTTGGCTTCCATTTAGGGTCAGAGTGGCTGAGGGCCAAGGTAGATTGGGTGCCAGGGGGTCGGCCCACGTGATTTGTGACATCATTGAGTTGTTTTTTGCTGCTTTCGATGTTGTTGTGGTTGTTGTTTGTTATTATTATTATTATTATATATTATTATTATTATTATTATTATTATTATTATTATTATTATTTATTTTATTATTATGATTATTATTAATATTGGCTACTAATATTATTTTTACTCTATTAATATTACTCTAATTACTACCATTATTATATATTGATGGCATTTCTTTGTTCCTCATTTATTATTGTTATTATTATTATTATTATTGTAAATAGCAATTGCGAATACTCTTTTCCATTAGTTCCAAATCTGTCCGTCAGAAGATAGATTGTGAATTGACACTGCCCTCGAAGAGTATTTAGGTTGGCGCAGAGGCAAGTGGAAGAGGGAGCGGTTTTGCCGAGTAGAGAATGTGCCAGTTAGATTTTTCTTCATTTTTCCACATTAGTTGGAATGTAAAATAGTGCCATAGTTAGATTCCAATTCCATTGCACAAATATTCGTTGGTGTGTTATGTTAAACATTCTCCTTTTTTTTGTAATAGGTCTTTGTCGGGAAATGTTTTTATTTTGTGTGTAAGGTTTAAGTTTCGTACCTTGCTTGTAGGTATCCCTTCCTACCTTATAAGAGTTAAGCACTAAGAAGAGAGACTAACCTCTTTAGATATTTTGATCCCATGATCTGAGAGGAAAAAAAAATTACTTATATAATCTTCAGAATCTGTACCAAAGAGGAGCAGTAAACAAGTAAACATAACTTATATATATGGGAGTTGACCCATAGGACCCCCCCCCCCCCCCCCGTACAGTCTTTAATGACGTTTGGCCCCTAGAGTTTGCATATATTCCCAGGTGAGAGTTAAAGCTTTAAAATCACTTTGGGCTGTTCAGAAATGCGTGTTGTGGTGCAGTTACGCTAGTTATTTTCTAGAGTTGTGTATGAACCAGTAAGATAAGAAAAAAGAAAAGATGTGTCCCGTTTAAATGACCACGCATTGGAAAAAAAGATAGATTATTTGATGTTAACCATTGCCATTGAGAGGAAAAGATGAATGCTAAAATATAAACTGGGGTAGTTGAGTGAGAGAGAAAGAGAGAAAAAAAAGACGAATTGCCTACTAACCAGTTCAGTAAAGGAAAAAAAAGATGAATCGTCCCATTGTGTCTTTGCAGCAAATCGAAGAGGTGCGACAGGTGGGCTCGTACAAGAAAGGTACCATGATGACGGGACACAATGTGGCAGACATTGTGGTGATCCTCAAGACGCTGCCCACCAAGGAGGCCGTGGAAGCTCTCGGGAAAAAGGTGTGTGATGATCTGCGCACGCAAGAGCCCCAGGAAGGTAAGTGGATTGCTTTTGGGGGAGCCTTTTTTCTTCTTTGGTACAATGGTGGTGTTGCTTTTGTAAGTCATGCCGTTTCTTCTTCCTCTTGTAAGTCTCTCGTCTTTTTTCCTCTCCCTCTTTTTTTTTTTTTTTCTTCCTCCTCCCTTCCTCCTTCCTCCTCTCCTCCCCTCCTCCTCCTCCTCCTCCTCCTCCTCTCCTCCCTCCTCCTCCTCCTCCTCTTTCCCTCCCTCCTCCTCCTCTCCTCCCTCCTCCTCCCCTCCTCCCCTCCTCCTTTCTCCCCTCCTCCTCCCTTCCTCCCCCCCCCTCCCTTCCTCCCCCCCCTCCTCCAACTCCTCCTCGTCTCCTTCTTCCTCTTCCTCCTCTCTTTTATTTTCTTCCTCCTCTTTCTTATTTCCCCTTGCACACCTCTGTCATTTCCTGTCCTGCTCTTTCTCCTCCACCTTTTGTTTTGGTTCCTCTTCACACTTCTCTTGTTTTTCCTATCCTTTCTCCTCCCTTGCACACCTCCTCTGTCGCTCCTCTCCTCCTCCTCTATCAACATACGATTTTATACATTCACATACACCTCTCCCTAATGTGAGACTAACCTAAACCTGCAGTGCTCGTCCTCACAATGCTCCCAGATGACCGAGGCTTCGAGATCAGCAACAGTGAGGCCACAGTGCGTGTCCTTGTGACCACCATCCACCAGAACCTGCGCAAACTGGATCCTGAGCTGCACCTCGACCAGAAGATCCTCCAGTCACACCTAGCGGCGATTAGACACAGGTGAGAAAGTTTCTTCTGGTCGCCCTATGAATGATAACGTACATGGTTGTACCTGTTGAAATGTTTCTTGAAATCTGATAGTCACTTAAAAGTTTTAAAAGAAAGATAAATTCAAGGTGGTAATACTTGAATATTTCCAATTCAAAGTATGGGAATAAAGGATTTAGTCAAGTTTGGAAAAGATGTGCCATAAGTGCAGTTGGATTCTTCTTCATCTGATTTTACCCCTTTCTCTTTCTCTTTGTCCCTCAGCCGCTGGTTCGAGGAGAATGCACACCACTCCACAATTAAAGTACTTATTCGGTTACTGCGGGATCTGCGTGGACGCTTCGAAGGGTTTGAACCTCTGTCACCTTGGATGCTGGACCTCCTGGTGAGATGGTTTGGGTAGCTCGTCGTAAATAACCCCTGCTGGATTGGAGAATGTAGTTTTCCAGCTATTTGTTACTACATTCAATTTGTAAGACATGTAAAGAAATGGAAAAGGGTGATAAACTATGCAAAATAATAGTCTTTGCTGGTTCTTTGGGAGAAAAAGTTTAAAGATGTACTACTTTTAGACTTTGAAAGATGTAGATGATTTTTTTATAATAAATTTTTGAAACGTATTTGAAATTAAAGCTTAAGAAACAATAAATTGTAAAAAAAAAAAAAAAAAAAAAAATTGAATACCAAAATCCATTGAAAAGGAAAAGGCACTAAGACACTAGGATTTAGTGATAGCAAGAGACGTGGACCACATCCATTTTTTTGTAACACTGGAGTTGTTAGAGTGCATGTTTTTTTTGTTTTTTTTGTTTTTTTTTGACATATTGATGATGTATATCCATTCTTTTCATAACAATCCAAGCCCAAATGCTGGTTGTCAAGGATACGGACCACAAGTGGTCAACCTGCTCTAAGTTGTGTGATGCTAAATAGTTGTTTGCATGTTTGGCTCTGGGTGTGGCTAATCAGGATCTACTGCCCCTCAAAAGCAGGGCTAGATAAAGCCTTGTTTTAACCTGGAAAACTGTGTATAGCACAGGCAAATGGATACAGACTGGGGTAAATGTGTTTCCTGTGCTTCTGATTTAATGCTCGAGTGACTGACTGTGAGGCTAAGATTGGTGCTGGTAAAAAATTCATCAGTGGGTTTATAGTCAAGGCATGAATTTCATTTCAGTCATTCCTTAAAATTGCTGTTACTCCTATGTATGTTGATGGCAACATCTGCCCCCTAGCAATTATTATTTTCTTTCCATTTTATCTGCGATTTTCTTTCCAGGCACATTATGCTATTATGAACAACCCAAGCAGACAGGCCTTGCCCATAAATTCTGCATTCCGCAGATGTTTGCAGCTATTAGCAGCAGGGCTGTTCTTACCAGGCTCTGCAGGTTAGTGCATGGAACTTTGATTTCTTGATTGACTTTACCATTTAATGCATTTGCCTTTCTTAAAGTCTTTTATGTAATGATTTGTTGTGAAAAATTGGAAGTTTCATTATATTTAATAGATATTTTAGAATTATTGAGAAGTAATTGAGCAAGGCAATTGGACTTAATGAAATAACATTACGTAACAGTCTAGGCTTTGTGGCTAGGCCTAAGCTGTGTACAGCAGGCCCACCTGCTCCAGGTCAGGATGCATATATGTCATAGGCTGTTACGTCTATAGCTGTACCTGTCACTGAAGAGTTAAATTGGACATGTTTTGAGGAGGGATGGGAAGGAGTGCCTTGTTTTGTATACTTTCAGGTATCAGTGACCCCTGTGAAGGAGGGAATATTCGTGTACATACAGCCATGACTCTGGAACAGCAGGACCTTGTATGTCTCACCGCCCAGACTCTTCTAAGAGTACTTTCACATGGTGGCTACAAACAGATCCTTGGACTCGAAGGCAACTCAAGTAAGAACTGTGGTTATATTTCTCTCAAAAGGAAAAGAAAGAAAAAATATTTTCTTTTAGTCTAGTTCCTTTTATCTTGAATCTAAGGATTTATTTACACAATCAGTATCCATGTATGGTGTTCGGCTATGCTCTGGATCAGTGGTAATGTGAAGTTTGAGCTTGGTGTGAACCACCATTCAGCTTGTGGGGCTTTTTCACAGGATTGGCTCATTTTTTGCTGTGCATGGATCTATTTGTGATAAATATTGTATTGCTGTGATTCATCATAACAATAACTATGGAATGCAATGTATGACGGTATATTTACGTGGGTATATATGCAGTGTGTTTATGCTAATATCAACAGTTGCTCATACGAGAGTAGAGTAATGTTAGATGTGGGTTCTTCTTATATATTGTGTGTTCTTCACATATTTATTTATTGTCTATGTATGTGTGTTTTGTCAGGAATCCATTAGCTTGGCATGTCTGAATTCAGGGCCTGTATATCAGTGCTTGGGAAGGATAACTGTTTTGAGGAACAAATTTGGTTCCATGCTCTGAAAAGGATTGTGTAAATAATTCCTTAGACATACTGGGAAGAGGGAATTTCTGTAGTTGCATTTTGACAATTTCTTAGTATTGTCTCTGTCTTTGCAGAATAATTAAACCTCATGCATTTGGTTTACTCTTCTTTTAGGTATAGCAAGCGAAATGTCTGTCTGGGATGGCGTTGTAGTGTCTGCATTAGAGAAGGCCTATGAAAAGCCCCCGGAGCGACCCCCACAGGATGATGATGGAGATGACATGGATGCTGATGACGATCCCATGGAGACGACAGACAATTAATTAGTGTATATTGGGAGAGCACAGTCGAATTGTGGAATTTTATGCTTCATGTGGAAAAGAAATGGCGAGTGAAAATAAAGGAAAGAAAAAACAACCTTTTTCTTGTCTGTTAAGGAATGCCTCTTCCTTTTTAATTTTTTTTTATTGAAAAGTTGCTTGTGTGAATATCAACTGAAATGCAAAAAGAAAATCGAAATAAACAACTTTTTCTTTGACTCCTAGTGTCTATAGGAGGACATTTTTAGAACAGTATAATAGTCAATAAATTTATACTTGAAATGTTTCTGTGGTGGTATGTTTTCAGCCCTGTCCTATATACAACTCTTCACTGCCATCTCATGAACAAGGGACTTACTTTTTTTCTTTTCTTTTTTATAAACTGGTTGTGCAAAACTTGTCATACAGGGAATTGTGCGAGGAAATACAAAAGAATTTGACCATTTTATCTAATGCATTATTATTGTTATTATTTTTTTCCCATGCAAATAATTCATATTGAAGTGCTAATGTAACGTGAATATTTGATTTTAATAGATGGAAAAGATGGATTACTATATTGTGATTATGTTGAAGATGTGTTAAAGTTTTTTGGAATTTGTTCAGGATTTTTACTCTTCCATTATCCAAGTAGGTTGATTGATATATGTATTGCGATTTTGTCCTTTTTAAAAGTTATTTTCTATTTTCTCTCTAGGAATTAAGAAAGTGCATAACAAGATCTGGCATTCACCTGTGTTGATATTCATTAGTCAAAGCATTGCATGTTGTGTATGACTGTGTAGTAAAATTTTCGACAACTTCTCATATGTAACAACATAATCATTCTATAGTATTTTTCTCTTTCAAAGTCATAGCCTGTTTATTGGCTAGTACAAAAATAATAGTTTTAAATTATGTCTTTTGGACTTGTGATCCTAAAATGGAAGAATTTATTTGTAACATCTCAAATATTGGTACGAGTGATTTGAACAGTAATTAATCAGTACAAATATAACTGATATATGTAGGGTATACTAAAAAAAAATAAAAAGTAAAAAAAAAAGGTAAAAAAACTTTCCCATTTAATAACAAAGAAGTTTTTGTTTAATTAGTTACCCCAATTGTAAGCTTTACAACATATAGGAAATGCCTATATCCTGAGTTTCCACTTTGAAGATGACATGAAACATTTTGCTAAGTTGTGTATTGTTTATGAATATGAAAATAGCTGTGGACATTTTTTTCTTCTTTTTTTAATAGTATTAATGCATATATGGAAAATATATTTATTTCTTTTTCTGTTTACTTTCTTATGCTTCTGTGTCTTTTTTTCTACAAATAAAGTGAGTGCTAGTGATTAATTACCTTTTATTATGGATCCATAATTTTTTTAAATTGATGCGAATTACAAATTACGGAGTTTCAAAAGCACACTACAGGTTTATTTGAAAGGACAGGAATACACATGTTGGATTTTCAGATTTTTATTAAAGCAAATGCAAAATTGAAGAAAAAAAAGTAATAAAAATCACGTCATAAAATTAGAAAAAAAAGAACCAGATACAGTATCTACAAAGACATCTACTCAGCCTTAACAGTCCAGGCACTGAACTCGCAGTCCAGAGGTAGAGAAAAGGCAAAACAAACAATTACCTAGGAGATTTTGAGGGGGGAGGGGGGACACAATACAGAACTAGCACAAACATCCAAAATGTGACTCCTTTTAATTGTGCTGAGTTTTTATTATTTTTAAGGATTTCGTGACGATTCTTAACATCAAAAATTTGTGAAGCAAAACCCAACAGCAGATTTCTCCACCAGGCACTGACAATAAGAGAATCATTATCATCTTTTTACATTATAGTGTACATTCTATAGTCTTATTCCCTAATCCTTAATTATTCCATGCACTGAGATTCTTTCCCATTCGTTGAAAAATTAACATTTCTTGTTAATGCATGTAGCTTACTCAACTTTTATGAAAAAAGGAAAACCAATACATTTATTATTACCTTAACACTGTGCCATGAAGAAATCTGCAAATAAAAAGCTGCACTTTTATTTATTTATTTATTTTTTTTATACTAACACTGCATCTCTCACACTATTCCCAACAAGAATATTTAAGTCTTTCTTTTGAATTTCAAGAGTATTCTCAAGAATGTCCTACCTCTGGACTTGTTTATGCATAGTTTGTGACCTTCTGTCTAACAATTTACACAAAGAATAAAAAAAGGAAATACACATTACATTGACAGTAATGTTGTAAGATTGATAGTTAATAATAAAAGAAAAAAAAATCATTGAGATGCACACAACAAGAGGGGGAGGGGAAATAGGGGGGGGGGATAGAAAAAAAAAAAAAAAAGTGGCACAAATTAATGGCAAATGCAATTGACTGTACAACTGTATGAAACTTTGGTCTATGGGCACATGGAGACAGACACACAGCTAAAATGGGGAACCTCTTTCTTTTGACCACCTAGTACTTTCATGCAGATATACCCTGTTTCTGTCATTCCAAAAATATTCCAAAAATACAATATCTTTTCACTTGACCTACTACATTTTTAAAAAAGTTACAACTATCCTCAGAATATTTCAGCGAAAGAACTTCTGGGAGTCAAAATTCTGCACAATTACGGAGCAACTTTTTTTTTTCTTTTTTTTTTTTTTTTTTAACCCCTTATGGATAAAATGCGGCAAGTGTTGCTCTCAGGTATGTACGCACACTGGACGAAACACAGCAAGATTTATCCTCCCAAAAAAGGTTTCCAAATTATCATATATATATAAATCTCCAAAGCAGAGCATCTTAGCTGAAATAACTGTGTATTAAATAAGATAGAAAACCTGACTTTTTCCCGTCTTGTGTGCACATGCTCTGAACATTGCCATCCTTTTAGGGGTTAGTACAGAACAAGCAGCAATTACTTCTTAATTGCACAAACTGGAATGTATCCCCTTACACTGTGTTTTCTGCCGTTGATAAGTGGTGGGACATGGATTGTCAAGATGGCTGCCATGTGGCCTTGCTGGACGCAGGGGGCGGTATTTGTGTGCGGTCATTTTTGCAGAAGAAGTAAACTTGTATGGTATGTGGCATCATGGTACCATGATCAATTTAGCATTTAGTGTTAGAAAGCAGTAGGTGGAAATGATGAAATTTCACTTCAGGTGAGAACAGAAGGCATAGAGTTCAAGAGAAGAGAGGTTAACATGAGAATTTGAGGAGGAAGTGGAGGAATAGTAGATGGGGAGAAAAGAATATGAAGATTAAACAAGAGAAACAGGAGGAAAATATTAAACAGAAGAGAAAAAGAAGGAGAAAAAGATTATATAGAAGGAAAAAAAAAAAGGCTAGAAGTAATAGCCACCAGGAAGGAAAATGCAACAGTCACCAAATTGGAAGAGACCAAAGTGA